CCCCCCCCCCGCAGGGGTGTACTGACCTCCAGCCCCATTCCCACTCCTACTTGAACCATGGTGTCACAGAGGGTAAGAGGGAGGAGACAGTGGGTGAGGCCTCCCGGGGTGGGACTGACTTCCAGCCCACTTCCTGATCTTACCTGGACTGTTGTTCCACAGAAGGTGAGAGGAACATGGAAGATCACAAAAGTACTCGTCTTCTGGGTTGGGGGACATCGAGTGGGGGCATAGGCCAGGTGGACATTGTCCAGCATAACCCTGTGTGCCAAGGCTACTTCTTGGGACACAACCAGGATGAAGTAGCCCCCTCTGAAACACTGGATGGTGGCTGGGACAAAGGCAGAGCCAAGAGGCAGATCAGGACATTGGGGCTCAGTGTCTCTCTAGCACAGGGGCATGGCCTGGGTGGCAATCACTAATCACTGGCCAGGAGATAGGGGACCTGAACTCTTGTTCCCATGGTTGACCTGATAAATTCCCTAGGAACCAATTTTCTTATGGATGGCACAGAGGATTGATGTATGCCCTAGAAATAGGATCACTGATTTCATCCAATGCAGGTGTTTCAGATATGAAGGTCAGGGTCTGTGGAAAGTAGATTTAACAGTTCCCCAGGACAGGTGCTCATTCTATCTAAAGGTGTCTGCTATCTACCTGGAGGTTGGGTTATCCTAGACGGGACTGCAAATCAGTTCAGCCAGGTACAGGGGACACCTCTGCTATGCCAGCCTCCAGGGGATCAGGAGCAGGCTTGGGTTGAAGATAGTACCTGTGTTGCCATAGTAACAGGGCACCTCTCTGGTGTGGTCATAGCAGCAGCCAGCTTGCTGACAGGCTTCCTTGGAACTATTTCCTACCATGCAAGGGAAGTGCCCAGAGGCCACCTGACACTGCTCCCAGGGCCGATGGGTACCTAGGATTGGTGGCAGGAAGAAATGACTTTGTAGAGACCAAAGGTCCCAGACACAGGCTATGTGTTCACAGAAAAATCCCACGTACCTACAGAATTAGGCTGAGTTACTTCCCAGTGTCCCAAGGTACCCCACTGGGGATGAGGAAGGGTGGGCCCGGTAGTTCCAGGTCCCGGGGATGGGGATGGTGAGGCAAGAGTTGGGTGGACAAAACTCTGCTCTGGGTACAATGTGCTGGGAATGGTGTAGCCAGAGCCAGTCAAGGTGTGGGCAGAAACAGGGTAGGGAGTAAGAATATGAGGCATAGAAGTCGAAGGCATGATTGGTGGAGCCAGGTGTGGGTCCTGGGTCTTGATGTGGGCTGGGGTCCCTGTGTGGTCCGGAGTCCCCATGTGGTCTGGTTTGGGACAGATCAGAGTGACATCTTGTGCTACATCCACTGTGCCGTCAGGCAGCAAGGCTTGCACGAACACCCTCAGGTGGAAACGCCCATCCTGCAGGTGAAGAGGGCCATCAGGGGCTGCTGAGTGAGGCCACCTGGCACCCAGATGAGTGCTGTGCTAGAGACCAGCCTTGTAGCCTGGCTATTGATCTACCCCCAGTTCTGAAGTGGCCACCACCCTGGTGGCTGTGGGGTTAGTGAGAATTGAGGCTGGTAGACAGGGAATTGATCGGTGACAGATACCAGGACCTAATCACCTAGCCACTCACCCACCAATCATAGGCTCCTTTCCTCTGGCTGTGAGGGGCTGTTAGGACAAGCTCCCATTGTTCCCAGATCTGTGACTGTGCCCCTACCTTCTCCAGCACATGGCAGCCTTTATAATCAACGGAGAAGACTGCGGGCTCCCAGGGCTCAGAGGTGACCCAGTGGTAGCAGATGGAGCAGTTATTCACCTCAAACCGGTTCCCAAATTCATCTAGGGAGGGGAAGGATGGGGGGTTTGTTCAGGTGCTGAAGTAGGGAGAGGCTGCTGGAGTCCTCTGAAACAAGCTCCTGACTCAGGAGGTAGAAGAGCTTGTTTCTAGCCTTAGCTTTGCTGTGAGCTTGGCTTTGTAGCCTTGGACAAGTGGTCCCTTTCTGGTTTCCACTTCTGCATGGGGATGAGTGGTCACTGACTCTTTGTAATTGGGATAGAAAGGATTCCTGGGCTCTTAGGCACAGACCGAATACCTCATAGTCTAAGCTTAGCTATCCTCATTCCATGGCTGAGGCAGCTGGAGTTCTGGGAAGATGGAACTTTTTCAGGCCTACACAATAAAGGGGTGGGATGAAGACTCCAGCCCTACCTTGAGTGGAAAGAACTCAGCTTGTCTATCATGTTAACTTGCTGTTACAGTCATCTGGGGACACCTGCTAAATGCTCATCCACCTTGTTAGCTCAGAACAGCCAAGGCACCCCCTGGAGCGGGCCTGCCTCCCAGGGCAAGATTGGGTCATTTTTCCCACCTTACAGATGTGGCTCAGAGAGGTCAGCATGAGCCTAGAAGCTGCAGATCCAAATTGTCACATGGAACCCCCCCACATCTGTCTCCACATTAGGTCACATCCATTAAGACTCCCATTCAGACAGTGTCTTGGGGACCCACAGTTTCACAGCCACAGTGTGTGTCTGGAAGTAAAGAGCCTTTCAGAGTCAGAGCCTGCCTTTCCCAGGAGGGCCAGATGATACCTGGGTACAGTGGCATGGGGGATGCTGCCGTGGTCATCTCCCTCTCCTTTCGTGTGGTGCTCCACATTAGGTCACATCCATTAAGACTCCCATTCAGACAGTGTCTTGGGGACCCACAGTTTCACAGCCACAGTGTGTGTCTGGAAGTAAAGAGCCTTTCAGAGTCAGAGCCTGCCTTTCCCAGGAGGGCCAGATGATACCTGGGTACAGTGGCATGGGGGATGCTGCCGTGGTCATCTCCCTCTCCTTTCGTGTGGTGAAGGGGCCAGAGGCCGGCCACCAC